AAATGTATTGAGCTCAGAGAATGCAAACAGAATGCAGTAGTCCTGATTGGCACAGATACAGTAATGTAGTGAGTGACATTCTGTCTTCCATTTTGAAAATTAAAAATAGAAAAAAAGAACCACCGATGTTGGGGTACTTGGCGATAAGGTGTAACTAAGTCTCCATATTTTGTATATGGGACAGGTAATTTTTAAATAGCCTTCAAATATTAGAAATAATTTAGAAATTTATATTTTTGCGTGTGCATGCTGACCTCTATTAGAATATAATTAATCATTAAATAACACCTTTGAGAGTAGATTTCAATGTTTTCAAGCCTTGCCTGACAATATTCTGAATACAACAATCCTTTGATAATAACTATCGCATCATCCAGCTTATAAAGTAATATCCGGTACTGGTATTAAAAAAATGTAATGCATGATTTGCAGAGCTTTGCTTTTAGATTAGTAAACTCTGTTTGTCAAGGATGTGTGCTGATAGATTACCTTCTGAAGTCAACTAAGGTAAATGGTTTCCTCTCCTGTGTTATGTGATATTTAATTGTACTGCTGTCAGTGGCGTACACATGACCCATGGGGCCCCGGTGCAAAAATTGATCCATGGCCCCCCCCCACGCCGGGTCGGGGTCGCAACACATGGTGGCGGGCACCTGGTCGCAGGGGTTGCAGGGCTGCGACCCCGCGACCGTGGTTTGCACACACACTTAAAGGACCACTACAGACACCCAGATCACATCAGCTCAATGAAGTGGTCTGGGTGCCAGGTCCCTCTAGTTTTAACCCTGCAGCTGAAAACATAGCAGTTTCAGAGAAACGGCTATGTTTCACTGAGGGTTAATCCAGCCTCTGGTGGCTGTCTCATTGACAGCTGCTAGAGGAGCTTCCGCGATTCTCACTGTGAAAATCACAGTGAGAAGACACTGAACGTCCATAGGAAAGCATTGAGTAATGCTTTCCTATGGGCGGTTTAAATGCGCGCATGCCTCTTGCCGCGCATGTGCATTTCGGAGCTGAGAGGCGGACACTGGGGAGTCCGACGCTGGAGAAAGGTAAATGCGGAAGACACACGCACACACTCTCACGAACAGACGTGCTAACAGACACACACATTTACTGACAGAGACACACTGCGACAGACATACATACACACTAACAAACACACACTCACTAACAGACATCAAACACACTCAGTAACAGACACACACAGTAACACACTCACTAGCAGACACACACCCAATAACAGACACATTCACTGACACACACACTAACACACGCACTAACACAAACAAACACTGACACACACACACATTAACACACACACTGACACACACACACTAACACACACATACACTCACACTAACACACACACACACTAACACACACACACACTAACACACACATACACTAACACACACATACACTAACACACACACACATTTTTTTTCAAATTTAATCCCCCCAGCCTCCTTACCTTTTGGAGTGCTGGGGGGATTCCCTGGTGGGCCAGGCCCGGTCGCAGCCGCGACCCCTGCGACCCTGGTATGTACGTCACTGACTGCTGTTGTGTCTTACTTATTGCTTTACTGTCACGGGATTTTAATTATCAGATTACCACATTTTATTTTGTGGGAAGCACAAAATTACACAGTGCTGTACAATCTGAGCAAAGGGCAGTCAATAAATGAAGCGCAAAACCACATTTTTATACGGAGGCTCGCTTGGAAAACTTCCTTAATTCAATACACAACCAGCCACTAGCATGGACCACACTGATCACGATCCACTGGCCACCTCAATCAATAATATGTTCTGAACTTCAGTCAAGATAGAATATGGTTTTTTGGCAAATCCAATCCAAAAATATTTTTTTTAAATGTCCCGTTTGAAACTTCACAGAGATTGGAAATCATTATCAACTTGGAACCAGGTATAAAGGAATACTCCACAAATAAGTTCTTAGTTTTTGGGGCCATTTTATCTTAAGGGGTTAAACTGTTAGTGAATAGTGATGTCGCGAACCATTCGCGAACTTGCCGCAAACGGTTCGCCACGAACCGTTCGTGGCGAACTCCGGTCAGCTGACACATCCCTGCCAATCTCCGGCAGACCCTCCCACCCAGACCCTCCCACCTGCTGGACAGCATCCATGTTGAAGCTGCCTTCAACATGGATGCTGTCCACGAAGTAGGAGGGATTGGGAGGGAGGGACTGCCGGATATTGGCAGGGATGTGTCAGTTGACCGGAGTTCGGCGCGAACTGTTCGCCACCAACCTTTCGCAAACGGTTCGCGACATCACTATTAGTGAATTGTTTAACAGCAAATTCAGAAAGATTGAGCCAAATCCATCCAAAGCCATTTGTAAACATAGCAGTCAGCAGGCAGGGTTAATCCTAGATGGACCTGGCACCCAGACCACTTCATTAAGCTGTAATTCCTATGAAGTTATGACAATTCAATCAGGAAGCCTCAGCCTTTCAGTCTATCACTCAAGAAATGGATGGAATACCAGTGACAGCTGAAGATCTCAGGCTATTATCGGCACCTTGTTGCAAAGAGATCTGCAAGTTTTGCAAGAAGTATTTAGATATCCCTACAATGAAAAACTGCATATTTTTTTCAATTGGGGGTATATCTACTAAACAGTGATATTTTTTCCTCAAGTGTCCCTTTAAGGTAAGACAGAGCCTGGGATCTCTGCGCACCATAACATCTTAACTGCACTGAAGTTGTTATGGTGACCAGAGTGATCTGTTAATAATATTATCATTAGTAATCATGGCTACTCTCAATTCGCAAAGTTAAACTGGATACATCTTGGAAAAATCCGACATGCCTGTTTGATCCATCTTACAGTTCAGTGACGTTATTATATTAACTTCACATGTTGCAAATCAACATGTTTCTTTCAGCATGTTCAAATCTGGCTTTTTTTGGTTGTAGTGTAAATGTATATTTGTTGCATTATCAGCTTTGCTTTATATGCTTTTATATTTTATTGCAATGCTCATGCACAAAACTCTTTACAAACTTCAATGTGGTGGTTGGTTAGTTGAGAACAGTTTTTAAGTCCCCGACTGTTGAAATTTATCACGCAAAAATGGTTTCTACATACTTGTTTTCCTGGCTCTATAGGGTCCTTGGGTCCCCCTCATCCTCTGGGTCCCACTCCCGCCAGGCTCTAGGATGAGGAAGGGCTTAAATTCCTACCTTTTTCCAGAGCCGGGCTCCCTCGGCGCTGGGGAATCTCCTCCTTCTTCTGCCATCGGCTGAATGTGCATGCGCGGCACAGTGAGAAGCACGGAAGCGCCTGTCAATGAGACAGCCACTAGATTGATTAACCCATTTGTAAACATAGCAGTGAGCAGGCAGGGTTAATCCTAGATGGACCTGGCACCCAGACCACTTCATTAAGCTGAAGTGGTCTGGGTGCCAAAGTGGTCCTTTAAGTTTGACTAAAAGGTATAGGCACTTTTTTGTCAAACCAATAATGTTAAGTCATGTTGAAAAGTATCAGAATGTTGATTGCAATTAGTTAAATGTCATTAATGGCTCATTCCCAGCTGTTAACATGTGGAAATTATCCAATGATATTACAGTGGTACCTCGGTTTACAAAATTTAATGCGTTCTCCAGGATGTTTCTTATTGTGAAACATTTGTAAACTGAAATGCCGCTTCCCATAGGAATGCTTTGAAAACCAATTAATCCGTTCTGGAGGTCAGAAAAAAGTCAAAATGAGTTGGCATGGAAATCAACCCACAATACAGAACACACAGTAAAAGCTCGACAAAGCTCAGATCCCTACCTTTCCACCGCTTGAGAAATGCACCAAAAAAGTTCCAAAAAGTCTTAAAACTTATGCAAACAATTTCCAGAATGGCTCCAAAACTCGATGCAAAAGCCGCTCCAACACCTCCACACTCAACGCCACCAACAGACTCTAGCATGCACAGGGGCGGCGCTATAAACCTCCCAGACACAATGCATCCTGGGGAATCTTGCTTTGTATTGCGGAAAAAAAACTGTAAACCAAGGCATTAGTTTCAATTTATTTTTGTAAACCGAAAATTATGTTAACCAAGGCATTTGTAAACCAAGGTACCACTGTATTTACATATATATATATTACAATTAAAAATAAATAAAATCAGTTGCCTGTTCGTGGTCAAACCGTAAACTACTGATATTATTTTCTTAAGGGGAAGGGTTAAAGGACCACTATAGTGCCAGGAAAACATACTCGTTTTCCTGGCACTATAGTGCCCTGAGGGTGCCCCCACCCTCAGGGACCCCCTCCCGCCCGGCTCTGGAAAGGGGAAAAGGGGTAAAAACTTACCTTTTTCCAGCGCTGGAGGAGAGCTCTCCTCCTCCTCTCCGCCTCCGTTACGCCCCGCCGGCTGAATGCGCACGCGCGGCAAGAGCTGCGCGCGCATTCAGCCGGTCTCATAGGAAAGCATTTACAATGCTTTCCTATGGATGCTTGCGTGCTCTCACTGTGAAAATCAGCCACTAGAGGGAATAGGGGGAAGGCTTAACCCATTCATAATTATAGCAGTTTCTCTGAAACTGCTATAATTATGAAAAAATGGGTTAACCCTAGAAGGACCTGGCACCCAGACCACTTCATTAAGCTGAAGTGGTCTGGGTGCCTAGAGTGGTCCTTTAACTTGTAAATTTTTATTATACATGATAAGCAAGCACCTACTTCTACAACAAGACAGATGATTCATTGATTATGAATGCTGGCTGCCTGGATAAGCAAGCCATTAAGAACAGCTGGGCATGTGTCAATTGTGAAAAATGTCCAGCCCGAGTGTAATTCAGGCAGGCTCAGTTTATTCCTAGATTTAATTTCTGAAATAGCCCATTTAATATCCAATAAGGCATCTGAGTCTAAGCAGCCTGTGGCTACATCCTTATAAGCAGCCAAGTCATAAAAAAATTTTTTTTTAAATTGATCCCTTGAGATAATGATTGTTATTTCAAAATCTGTATGGCAAATTTTCTGTGCTCCTCCCTACTTTTAAAGGGACACCAGAACCACTACAGCTTCATGAAGTGGCTTTGGTGTCTACAGCATGTCCGTGCAAGCTTTTCAATGTAAACACTGTCTTTTCAGAAAAAAGGCAGTGTTTACATTGCTGCCTAGGAACACCTCTAATAGCAGTAACTCAGATGGCCACTAAACGTGCTTTCTATCTCAGGGTTGCACAGGGTGTTCAGTGATGCTGAATGTTTCTCATAGACATGCATTAATTCAATTAGATGCATTGAATGCGCACGCGCAATAAACTCACAATGTTTTCATATGGGAAAGCATTGGATTTGCTGAGATCATCAAGATTGACAATCTCAGCCACGTAGTCGGAGCCAGCCAAAGCAATGGAGAAAAGGTATGTAATTGCCTTTTCAAAGTTATCTGAGGAGGACAAGGGGCTAAATAGTTAGTTAAACATTATAGTGTTAGGAATACAGGTTTGTATTCCCGACACTATAGTGTTCCTTTAATTTTCAGTTCAGTTACACAGCTGTATCGAAACACCACACAAGTACATTATCTGAAAATATTTAGTAAATGCCCATTTTGAAACTTGGACAAATGACATTCATTTCACCATACATGGTTTACTTACTTATTGGGTGTTGGTCTGTATATAATAATACATTCACTGCATGTGACATCTCAAGCATGGTTTCATTTTATCTAAAATAACAAAAATCAAAACAAGGAACGGAGCTCCAGTTGCTATGGTTAAAAACAAAACCATTAACAACTATAAGGGAACGTATGTAGTGTGTGTCTGTTAAAGCATGTTTCCAGACTACCACAATCTTCCAGGTACAGTTCCATTATGGTCTTGTCCTGTATTCTCAAGTATGTTTTTTTTAATCTGACTATTGTGATAGTTTCATATTGTGATGTTCCTTGGGTGGAGTCTTGCACCCCACTATCCTAAAACTTCAACAGCTGCCACTGATTACTAGCCAGTTACATGTATTTACATGCACAAGTACAGAGACACACTTGCTTGCCACTATGGTTTTTTTTTGCCTATTTTCCTGCTGCTCAATTCTGCCAGGAGATCATTAGGTCTGCATCACTGCCCATGCTGCCTTACAGTGGAGATACCGATCACTAGGGTCTTCCAAGCTACAATGCAGCAGCCTCACATGGCCTCGGAATGGTGTGATGTCATGTCCGTTCTGTTGGGCACTGTAAATCACAATGCTCAGCACCAGTAACATTCACTATCACTATGACAACCTGCTATCATCAATATGTCAGGTTCCATATAAAATAATCCTAGACACTAAGATTTCAATCTTATTAGTCCCAGCAAGAATGGAGTGTTACACTCCCTAGGCAGGACAAAACTCAGGACCCCCTCCCCGCCTACTAAATACACACGCATACACTAGCTAACAGAAACACAAACTCACTGACACACACAGACACTTACTCACTCACTAGCAGACAGACACACACAGCCACACTCACTCACTAGCAGACACACACACTCACTAGCAGGCAAACACACTCACAGTCAGTCACACTAACAGTCAGACACACACACTAACAGATACACACACACACATTAATTTATTTTAATCTCCCCCCCACCCCAGCCTTCTTACCTTTGGGAATGCTGGGGGAGGGTTCCCTTTCTGGTGGTCCAGTGGTTGCTGGGCGGGCGGGTGGCTGGCGAGGGAGCTCTTCCTCTGAGCGGTCTGCTCAGCTCCCTCACGCGCCTCGGAGTGAGGCTGGGAGCCGGAATATGACGTCATCAACCCAGCTCCCAGCCTCACTCTGCGGCGCGCGAGGGAGCTGAGCAGGCAGCTCAGAGGAAGAGCTCCCTTGCCAGCGCCACCCGCCCGCTCGGCGTGTCTGTTAGCCGCAAGGCTAACAAGGCATTTGCCCTGGGCATTTGGGGGCGGCTTTTTTTGCCGCCCCCTGGAAAATGCCGCCCAAGGCAAATGCCTTGTTTGCCTCGCGGCTAAAACGCCTCTGGTGTTACAAATGCCTTTTTTTATGAGTTTACATACAAAATGATTGGCTGGGATAATATAAACAAAGTTTTTTAAAAAGGCATTAGGATGCAACCTTTTTCTCTAAAACCGTAACAGACCTTAGGCCAGTGGGTATTTGTATCTTGCTGTCAAGCGCTTTAACAAGTAACAGATTAAGTTTCATTAGCACACTTTATTTGCCCCCGTGTGGAACTAAAACCAGCTAGCTATAAGCATTGGAGCCTCTGTCAAATCAAAGCTTAATGAACGGTTGCAGGACTCCTGAGGAATCTATTTGAAATTAAAATGTATTTTGCAAACTGCCTTATCAGTTACTCCAACAGAAACAGGAATAATGGATGGCGTACCTTGCTGGCACAGTACTGCAACTTTAAAAAAAAAAAATTCCTGTAATCCCACGCCGAGGCCAAGTTCTCCATTCAGCCCAGCGCTCTTTAGATGTCACTCCCTCTCATTACAGGAGAAAGGATGTCCTGGACTCTGGATTGAATGAAGGTGGTATGGCGTGTAGACTGTGTCACAAGCTTGGTATATGCTTAGGACAATGCCGGAGGTGGAGTCATACCTTCAGCATCAACACTATATTATTATTTATATAGCACCATTAAATGCAGAAGCGCTGTACAATGGGATAACTCTGTATGTGCAGTACAGACTCCAAGCACCATAACCTATTCAAATCTCTCTTTTTAAAAAAGATTGCTAATATCATTTGTGACAAATCACACTTTGAGTTTCGTTAAGGCGCACACAGAAGTTTTTATAAGGTACACGGAGTAACTTCATTTTCTAGGCAGTGAGAGTTCTGCATGAACTTTGGTGTACACATGAATTTCTTCTTGACTTGCCAGTAAGTGTGTTGTACACAAATCAAGGAAAAACCCAGGTGTATAAATGAAAGAAAAAGAGAGAAATAATTTTAGGTTCATATTATTCTGTACATGTAGTAATGTTTAAAAATAAACACGGGAAAACAACACAACATCATGTTTCTGTTACATCTTTGGTGTCCTGTCGTGGAATGATTTTCATATCAAAAGGAATAAAATATTCCAATAGAGACTGGCAGTCCTTAATGTCCAAGTTATATTCCTTTGCTATTTTTTCTGAGGTCCAGATTTGGGGATTTTGTTTGTGATTGTGGAGAGCTGTCAGTGCCTCCAGTATAGAAATTTTTCCTTTAGGAATGTCTTTCACATCCACAACAGAAAACTGATTGCTTCCCATGGTTAGTTTAGGAAGTCTGAATTCCTCTTGACCCGACGATGGCTCATCTTCACTCTTCACCTAAGAAAAACAAGAGAAAATTTTTAAATTCATGCAATAGGCTGATTAATTATAATGGGAAGATTTTTTCTTTTTAAATCTACCACAAAGAAATGTAATTGTATTGTGTTCACTTCTGGATTTTACAGCTATTTTTTACTTAATGAAATGCGAAGTTCCTTCAATGTACTTAAAATATCCCATTCACCAAAAACGGTTAGCAGAATTGATGTTTCCATATGCATAAAAAAAATAAGACAAAACCCTTCTACATGTCTGAGAAAAGTAATTTCTTTATGAAAAAAAAAAGAGACGAAATCATTAAAGGAGAGTTCTTTTTTTAAAGGGACACTAAGCACCATTACTAGTGCAGTGCAATGTTGACTAAGAGTCTTTGGGCATCATCCATACCTAAATATCAAAACATTTAGAAGAAATTTGACAACCGAGGGAGATCCCTGACACCCAGAGACCACTTTCTCCTTAGCTGCATTGAGAAGTATATGCTATAGGAATTACAGATGAAATTTTACATCCAAACTTGACACCACTGATAGGCTAAGAACACTGGGCTAACCAGTCCCCAGCACCACAAAACTGTAAATTCTGCATTCTCAAGGCTGTCAAAGAGGGGGTGGTCTCTATATTCAGTGGGGAGCCCTGTTTCCCCTCCCCCCCTTTCTTCAAACAGATTTACAAAATAGAAAAAGAAAAAAAAAAAACGAGGGACGGAGCCCAGTGGCAACATAATCCATTTACTGCAGGTATCCACTGCAGAATAACAGACTTCTGATGGTGTACAACAGTGATATATAGTTTCAAAGAATTTATGGGTGCCATACATGAAAATTTGTGTAATGGTGTACATAATTGAAAGGGTTACTCCAAGCACCATGACTACTTCAGTGACTTGAAATGGTCATAAGTGCCTAGAGTCTGTACGTGCAGCGTTTCCTTGCACATACAGAGTTTAACCCCTAAGCTGCTGGAGATTTAATGCCACTCCTGGCAGTGTCATGGAGCATCTTTAGCCAGCGAGAACCAAGAGTTCGAAGCTGGCCAATATCAGTTGTGCGCAAATTTTGATGCACACTCATTCATTGTCCATGAGTAAACAGATGGCGCTCCCAGACAATAAATGAGCGGCAGGATCGACAGCCGGTCTTTGCAGCTCCGCAGAAGCAGAATGTTGAAAGCCTGCCTACACTGCATAACCGGACCCTATTACCGGAGAATAACACCAGGTTACACCTGCTATAATAGCCAATACAGTAGGCAGTAGTGATTATGATGGTTATAGTAACTCTTTAAACCAGGCCTGCACAACCTGAAGCTCTGCAGATGTTTTGAACTACAAATCCCATGATTCCTTGGTTATCAGCCATGATTCCCTGGCTGTTTCATTCAAGAAACACGTGCATTGGCTTTTCATTCAAAGAATAATGGGAGATGTAGTTCAAAACATCTGGGGGCCCACAGGTTGAGCATTAAACAATGTCAGAAGTAAAAACAAACTGATGTGATTATGGTGCCAATAATTCCTGGCACTATCCCACAGTATGTAGTAAAACCATTTTTCCTCTGGGAAAACCCTGGACTAGCCTCCCTTTTAGATATACCTAAATTAGAAGTTCCACTTTCCACAGAGGTGCCCAAAAGGTAGATGCCCAGATGTTTTAAAACTACAGCCTCCATGATGTCTTGTCAGTCTAAAGGCATGCAAAGCATTATCGGACTTTTAGTTCCTTAACATTTAGGGATCTACTTTTTGGGCACCCCTGCTTCAGAGGTTATGATGCCTATAATGGTGTCTAACTGAAGACATCAAGAAACCTCTCCAGAACTGTACAAGACTATGCTCAGAAAAGTGATTCATGATTCACAAATAGACCTAAAAGGTATAGCAGTGCTCCGTAAATGTAAGATTTCTATGGGTTAGGAATGTGTCGACTGGGTCCGAGAATGAGAACAGTTAAATATTTAGTATATGAGCCACAGTGTGTGAATTTGTCTGAGAAAAACAAAAGAGCTGTGAAAAACTGGGTCAACACAACAAGAATAGCTGTAAACTTAAGCTCTCTAGATTCACCAGTGGGTGGAGAACTTACTGTGTTTGTTAATGATTTCTTATTAAGGACAAGATCAACACTTAAGGCAGTCGTATAAAAAGGGCTTGGCTGGTTAAGTGAAACGGTGAGAAAAAGCACACAGGGTGTGAAATCACAGAAATATTTATTACAGAAGTGGGAAGACAAGAGTGTAGAAGTGCAAAATAGAAGTATAAATGACCAAAAGGTGATGTACTACTAAACAATAACAATTATTCTTAACCCCTTCATAGTGCTTTGTCGACAGACACACACACACACCCTCTCATGTAAATGAACATAAACAAGACAACAGAAAAAAATAAATAAAACAATGATTCTCAATATAAACTTTTTTTTATTGTATTTGGTAGAAACATTTTAGTTTCTGCACCAGAACAGGGCAATAAACAAAGTGCTGATTAATGACCACTACTGAAGTGGAACATTTACTCCACCCCAAAGTGACTTATTTGAAGTGATTCCAGGTTAGTGAATGTAGGGTAATCATTTTTTAATAGGAGCACATACACCAATCAGACATGTCACGACTGATTGCTACAGAGGCAGCAGAGAGTTTTTCCATAACTGCCTTGACATTATCTATAGCACAAAATTTGAAAAGAAAACTGCTTCAGGGTGTATGTTATGTAAATATTATAGGACTGGCTTTACATAGTAAATATTAAAAGGACACTATAGTCACCAAAACAACTTTAGCTTACTGCTCAATTCTCTACCATTTAGGAGTTAAAACAGTTTGTTTATATAGCTCTAGTTACACCTCTCTGCAAGTTAAGTGCACAGACTACCTAAACACTTCCGGTAAATGGAGAACTAATGTTTACACTTCCTTTATTGCAAATTCTGTTTTATTTAGAATTTATGATCTCCTACACTATTACTAGCATGCTAGACCTTACAGGAGCCTATGTGATTAAAGTTCAAGATAAAGAGCAGGAGATAAAAAAGGTAAAGTAACTTCTGATTAAAAATATAAAAAAAAGGCTGTGCGATCACACTCAGGTGCAGCATGGACAGAAACAATAGTGATTTAACTCCGAAATGACAGAATTGAGCAGCGAGACTTCATCTATACACCAAAACTGCTTAATTAAGCTAAAGTTGTTCTGGTGACTATAGTGTTCCTTTAACCTGTATAAAATTATAAAAATGTTAACAAATCTAGATTATGGCAACTATTATATTTCTAGCTTTTTATTGGGTACTGACAGCACTGAGATACAAACTACAAATATGTTGTTGACACCAAAGCCAATTTTGGGCAAAACAGCTTAAGGAGTGTCTTTAACCCCTTAAGGACCAAACTTCTGGAATAAAAGGGAATCATGACATGTCACACATGTCATGTGTCCTTAAGGGGTTAAAGGGACACTATAGTCACCAGAACAACTACAGATTATTGAATTTGTTCTGGTGAGTAGAATCATTACCTTCAGGCCTTTTCAGAGAAAATGCAGTGTTTACATTACAGCCTAGTGAAAACTTCACTGGCCACTCCTCAGATGGCTGTTAGAGATCCTTGCTGGGTCATGGCTGCCTAAAATGCATCCAAACATTCAGTATCTCCTACCTCTGCATGCAGACACTGAACTTTCCACACAGAGATTCATTGAGTCAATTCATCTCTATGAGGAGATGCGGATTAGCCAGGCCTGTGTTTGAATCATGCTGGCTCTGCCCCTAATCTGCCTCCTTGTCAGTCTCAGACAATCCTATGGGGAAGCATTGTGATTGGATCAGGCCACCACTTCTGATGATGTCAGCAGACAGCTTGTTTTTCTGGGGCAAACAGCATGCAGATCTACAGCTTCAGGCTTGAATACAGTAAGATTTTGCTATATTTATGGAGGCATGATGGGCACAGGGGTTTTAACACCATAGGGTCAGGAATACATGTTTGTGTTCCTGACCCTATAGTGATCCTTTAAGGGAACACTTTATCTCAACCCCTTGATTTCTCATATGTATATTTTTAGGAGTCTAGCCAGCTCCTTGGTTCTGCACCCCTCCTTGTCACAGGTGCCTCATCTCAGGATCCTATTTAGCCTTGTATTGCAGAGAACATGAGATGGAAGTATTTCCCAAAGTAAGTAGCTCATTTAGAAGACATCTGGCTGTTAGAGTAGGACCTACTCTAAAATGGGGTACATTAAGTTGTGGCAGGCTTATGCAATGTATGATCATATAATGTAACCAAACCCCCATTATTTTTTTGCCTAGATTAGGTGTTTTTAATAAAACTAACAATCGGTCAGCACAAAAGTACCTGTTTAGTAGATAAGGGAGTGCGCTGGATTCTCATTTTTACTGCACTTTATCATAGTGGTCCTGTCATTGAACCGAACCCTGGACTGTAAAACATTGAAGTTTTATTAGAAACTACAATGTTTACATTGCAGGGTTAAATCCACTTCTAGAGGCAGTCTTCCTAAAAGATACTAGAGGCACCTCCTCCAAACCACGTAAAACTCAGTCATGGAATCAAATGCTGCAGATAGCAAAAATTTGCTTGGAGGAGAGCAGCTCTTTGCCATAAATGTGCACTCTAATCCAGTAAAAAGCATTGGACAGGACACGATCAAGAAATCACTGGAGGTAGAGTTGAATGCTGCAGCAGAGGAGTCCCAGGACTGGAAACAAGGCGAGCCATTTTTGTTTGTTTAACTTAATTGTTCACCACAAAAGGGGATCTATAGTCCTGAAATGATAATTGTTATTTTCTGGACTACTGGTTCCATTTAACAGGTTTGGAACTGTCCATCTTTTCTGTAGCCTAGCTTCATCGTTGTGAAGGGCCTTACTGAAAGAATTTGGAATCAAAGAGGTAGAACATGAGACAGTATGTTCCTTATATTAGAATTCTGCATACTTTTTTATGCAAATTATTCTATTTTGCATTTTACATACTAAACAGAAATATAGTGTTAAAAGGACACTATAGTCACCAGAAACACTAATGTAGTGGTTCTGGTATCTGTAGCCTGTCCCTGTAGCCTAAACAATATAAATGCTGTCTTTCCAGATTAAAATCAGTGTTTACATTGCTGCCTAGTAATACCTCTAGTGGCAGTCACTCAGAGAGCAACTAGAGGGACCTCCTGGGTTAAGTCCTGCAATGTTTGCAGGATTTACATTCAGCATGTCCACGCTCTGCATGGAGACGCTGAAAGGTCCTCATAAAGATGATTCAATACATCTCTATGAAGAGATGCTGATTGGCAGGGCCAACCGCAGAGAGAGACCAGCAAGACATTTCACCTATCAGGTGTCTGTCTTCATGTAAACAGAAATTATATCCCACAAGCCCCCAACAGTATTTCCATTTATCAGATCTGGTAAGTGGAACTGCTGAATTAGCAGACAGCAATGTCAATATTCCACCATTCAGGTTTTATTTTTAGGAGATTTTAATCGTTATGCGCAACCATTTTTCAATTTGCCAAAATTGGTTCTAGGTGGAGACCACACCAGTAATACCTGTGTGTTTAAATAATGGCTGCTAGCAGCCTCATTCACAGTTTTGTAAACTGGGCTTTGTAGAGCATTTGCCAGAGCAGCTGACCATCCATGCAAGCAGCTTTGGCTGGGGCTTCAGCACAAGGTGAGATATGTTGAACTGTGTGTGCCGCCACAAGTTTTATATATCCGACAGACAAGACAGACTTATAGTTAAAGCAAAAATTAGAAGTGCTGCACACAAGTATATGTTGGAGAGCGGTCCGCCACACCACTAACAACTTAAAAAATAGAAGTCCACAGGAGGCACAAGATAGAGTAAAGGCATAAATAGCATTATTTTTTTAATCAAAAGGACAAAGGATACAATGTTTCATCCGTTAGGCCTTAATCATGTAGGATACGTGATATCCTTTATTTTTCCTTTTGATTCAAAATAAATATAGCAGAAATTATATCTATTTTTAGGCTCATAGTTAAAGTTATAAACAACAATGTACTGAAAAACCGTGATCTCTGTGCACCATAACCTGCTTAAGATGCAGTTGTTGTTGTGTTTTCAGTGTCCCTTTAATGTATCTATTTGTTACAATTTTCCATGAGCAATGTATTCATTATATAGTAGCACTTGCCCCTCACAATTTTGTGGACAACAGGTTTACTGTAAGACACAAAACCTGTATTTATCATTAATAAAAAAATAAAAATAAATACAAAGTGAAAATAATTTAGAATATAGAGTTACTACAGAGCTTAGATGGAAAAATAAACATGTGTTTGGCCTCTTTGATGAAAACAGCATGCTAATTGACAAATGGAACTGCAAGATTCTATATTTATTTATTTAGAACCCAAAACAGTAAGGGTTCTATTCAGTTTAGTACAAACTATGATTTGAGAGAAAAAAAACAGTAATAGGTCTCAAAGGGAGAACATTTTAAACATGAGGGATTACAACACAGGACGCAAATAACTGGCAACACAGGTGATATATTGTGTTGTATCTGTAGGAGCAGATAATGGATTGTTAGCAAACAAGTCAAAATAGAATCAAAAGGGTTTAACAATGGAAATTTAATAAATGTTAAATATTTGTGGGTTTTTAAATCCATTTCTCTTTTTTTTATTTTGTGAGAAATCTTGGCAAAACAGAGTACCCAAAATACAAAACTACCAAATGTGAAGTTGCCTGGTGGGAGCTTTTGTTTAGAACAACAAAGTACATTTGGTAACCATAGAGAGGGAACAAAACATCTCCAATTTTGTATTAGTAAGGCACCAACATGAACTGAGGAAAAAGGACATTTATAATTTAATGCTAAAAACGTGTCAACCAAGGGTAAAAATCTCCAACAAGCCCTGAGAAATAATTGTGTGTCTCTAACAAATACCACTCCATTCATGTAGAAAAGCACTAACAGCAGGGCCCACAATTCTCACTGGCTACTAGCCATTGGTGAGTGAAAATTTAGCCCTGGCGAGTAGAATTCATTGGCTAATTGTGCAGAACTTTACTTTGTTCAGCATTTATAGAGTTGGTGGAGAAGTGTTACAAACCCTTTACTTTTGTAGTGAATCACAATGATGTTATAAAAAAAAAAGACCATGGACAATAAAATAAAAAGATACTCTCCTCCAAATGTCCCTAATTTGTCTGATATTTCTCAGTTAATCCTGGTCCTACAATGGTTTTCAATAAAAGCCCTGTGCATGTCTCAAATTGTAGAAGCTGTATAGTGGCTGTTACTAACTGGCCAATTAGTCTCGTTCTTTTTACCCCTCCCATTAATGTATAAAAAAGCAATGATGGATGCAGGGTTACTAAATAAAACTTATACAAAGCTATAAAAGAGCATGTACAAGATGCTTAAAGGAACACTTGGCACACTGCACCACAAAATGAAATAGTTAAACCGGTAATCAAGTGGTTGTGGTGCAAAGAGGTCCTGGACTCCCTTTTACCATAAGCGATTAAAACATTTAAGCCCAAACTCAGGAATACTGTGCCTGTCTAGTCAGCCCAGCAACTTCTTTAAATGGTACAAGGCTTCAATCAGGAAACCTCAGACCTGGGGCTTCTGACAGCTTCAGCTGACACTCTCAGGCTATCACTTGCTCATGGTTTATAAAACAGATGACAGTTTATTCAAGACAGGAGCTCATTCATGGGATGACAGTGCATAGCTAACTCTCTCAACCAATGAATGAATGAATGAGTGTGAAACCATGCTAAAAATTGTTTACAAAATTACACAGGGATGTTACTAGGGCACTCATGGCACCATTACCATTACAGTGGGTTGTTATGGTGCTTGGAGAGTCTTTTTAAAGGGACAGTGTAGGCACTTTAAGAACTTAATTTTATTAAAGCTGTTATAGTGCTTGCAGTCCTGCACCACCTCTTCTACCCCCAAAGTTAGTTCACTAATTAAAGGGCTTGGAAGCACAGTTTCAACTCATGCCTCCAAGCCCTCTCGTTAGGAGAGCTGTGAATCTTACTTCCCAGTTCTTATACCATAACATGACATGGTCATGCGCGGTGCCGTCACGGTTGGCCATAGAGTATCATTGTTTTCAATAATTCTCTATGTCAGAATCTTAGGCGCATTGGATTGGCCTATAACTTTGCAGGAAGAAAACTCGCAGAGAAGATTGCTGCAATGCTGAGGGAGACTCGACACTGGAAAAAAGGGGAGTAATTTGTTTTATTTATTAACTTTTTTCCTTTTATACAAGGTGCGGGTTATTTGATAAGGGGCATTAGGAATACAGATATGTATTCCTAATGCTCTAGTGTTCCTTTAATATGCAGCAAAAAGAAAATAGATCTTCGCAAGAAAATAAGCTGAAACACAACTTTAAATCACATTTTAAATTTTTTATTCAATTGTGTAATTTCTAAAGAAGTGAAGGTTCACCTTTAAAGTTAAAGTAGCTACGCTGTGAGTATAGACATTTATAGAAATGTTTCCAGAACATTAGTTTTTGCTACTCATATTTAAATGTGTTACAATGTGGAGTTTAGTTAATACAATTACCAGGTATAATTAAATATCGGACTGTAATTAATATTCAGAATTGACCAGGAAAATAGATATTTAGGGTAAAATAGCAAAAAAAAAAAAAAGAAAAAAAAAAAAGAAAGGAAATGTACCTCAAAAGCTCCCTACAACAAGTCATAGGTAAACAGTGGTCAGACAGAACCTTTAAAATTTAACAGCACTAATTGCAAATCAGTTTCCTCACAATTCGAGGGGGAAAAAGAAAATGTGTGTATATATATATATATATATATATATATATATATATATATATATATATATATATATATATATATATATATATATATATATATATATATATATATTAGCAAAAAGTATAGCTGCACTCACGGTTGAGAGATAAAATCTTCAATGCTTTGATCCTGAGGAAAGTCCACAAGATGGACTGAAACGTCGATCCTTATTTTAAATGTCCAAATAAAGCATTGAAGATTTTCTCTCTCAATCGTGAGTGCAGCTATACTTTTTGCTAATATACACACATATACACATATATATATACACACACACGGTCAGAGTTTGCAAATCCATTTATTCTAGATAAAGATGCATAATTACACTGATAACCAGGTTGGCTTACCTGGAGTGAAGGATCTCTAGAGTCGACATAAACTTCTTTCAACCGCAAAAGGAGTTTATCATCTTTTTTGTAAACTGCATCCTGTATTTCTGGATGTTCTGTTTAAATAGAAAAACAAACAAAGCAAGAATTAAATTAAAAACAAAACATAAAAAAAAAAAAAATTAAATGTCAGCTACAGCCGTTTAGATTCTACCTCTTAAACATATATAAGGAAATTACTTTCTAGTACCCAACATTAATCTACATGTTAAAGGCTGCCCATGAGTCATTACAGGAACACTCCAAACAACATAACCACTGCAGAGTGTTGTAGTAGTTATGGTATGTACACTCAGATACATTTCAACATCAGTTTCACCATTTATTACATCAGTGCAAGTGACTTCTATACTTAGAACTGGACCATTGAAAACGTACTAAATTCAACACCTGGAATCATGTGGTGCCGTCTTACCTTTCAGTATTAAATGGTTTTCAAAATCTGTTATAGCAATTATTGGGATACTCATAAACAGAACACCTTTCCTAGCATTGTTTAATAAGTGTAGAACAAATACAGAAAAGGAGCAATCAATTCCTGCTTATCCCTCCAATTTAGAACTTAGCAGGTTTTCCATTATGATCAGAATTAAAATAAAATTTTCTTACACTTTCCATTATTTGCAGATTTCCCTTTCAGTAGTCTTGCCGCATCCCTGGTTATATAGTTTAACAAAGTACAAGAAATTCACCCTAGTTTGTGCATTGCTGAGAGGGTGCCAGGTTCTTCAGTAAAATAAACTAAGCACTTCTGTCAAGGCACAGCAGACATAAAGGAATAAACGACCACTCTAGGCACCCAGACCACTTCAGCTTAATGAAGTGGTCTGGGTGCCAGGTCCAGCTAGGGTTAACCCATTTTTTAATAAACATAGCAGTTTCAGAGAAACTGCTATGTTTATTAATGGGTTAAGCCTTCCCCCTAATCCTCTAGTGGCTGTCTCATTGACAGCCACTCGAGGCGCTTGCGTGCTTCTCACTGTGATTTTCACAGTGAGAGCACGCCAGCGTCCATAGGAAAGCATTGTAAATGCTTTCTTATGCGACCGGCTGAATGCGCGCGCAGCTCTTGCCGCGCGTGCTCATTCAGCCGACGGGGCGGAACGGAGGAGGAGAGAAGGAGGAGAGCTCTCTGCCCAGCGCTGGAAAAGGGTAGGTTTAAACCCCTTTCCCCTTTCCAGAGCCGGGCGGGAGGGGGTCCCTGAGGGTGGGGGCACCCTCAGGGCACTATAGTGCCAGGAAAACGAGTATGTTTTCCTGGCACTATAGTGGTCCTTTAATTCACAATGATTGCCGCACTAGTGCACTCGCCAAAGAGATTGCCAGGGGGATACACCCCACTTCTAAGTTCCCCAAATAACACTTAGATACCCTCCCCGTTCTTTAGTGATAGAAGTGACTTGTAAATTGACTTTGGAACATTTTGAAGTCTTAAAGTCCATAATGGAGTTGAAAAAGTTGACATTTCAGTTGCAAGATTGAATAACAGTCATCACTCACACCACAATGGATCCATTGGCATACTGCTTACTTTTATTGATTTCTTAACTGACCGGGTATATTCACTAAAAAGATAGATTGGTACATTTGATATTTTGAAAATGTCCATTATGTGGACTTACCCCTTACAGGGAACCGCGGCGTATTGTAATGAACTTATAAACAAATTGTAAAATGTAAGCAAAAGAGCTGGTTTGGAACACTTTTCTGACCTAGATGTAGTCCCAGCTTGGCTATTTTGTAACTTATTTTCAATTTACACTAGTTTAGTACACAAAAAAATAAAAAAATAAAGTAGTACAATACTTCCCCCAATATGACTTCAAGTAGATATACACATGCATATACGATAAACACTACACTGGCAAAATTGTAAAACATGTACATTCTGGGTGATAGGAATATGTGAGTAACTGCATGCGCAGTTGACAGATGTAAAACATTAAAATGCATGGAGATTGCGGATTTTTTTTTGTGTCATAGGACCAGACTGGCAACCAATTACATCATTCCATGAGCCATCTTTACAGTTTTTCCAATGCCTAGAAGTAAAAATCACCAAAATAGCTACGTCTTAACTAGTTCATGTATATATTTCCAAACATATTTTAATGTAATTGCTCTAGCAATAGTTTATCTATATCCCCCACTTTGTGCATGCTAATGTACATAAGTGTATGTCATTGACTTTCCACTCATCTTTAACACCTACTGCAAAGATAATAAAAAACTCATTCTTATCTGACTCATTCTGAAAACCAAGAATTAAAAAAAAACTCAAACGTGTAAGCAAAACATAGGTATTTAACATATGCTAGGATATATATATTATTTTATTTTAAAAGAGCCTTATTCACTAAAGTGAGAACTGTCAGGAAATTAAAGTGAATGCCAAATTTAATTGGGGTACTTTTCCAGTTCAGCTATTTAGGCTCTATATTTGAAATTAAAGGGAAACTATAGTGCCAGAAAACCATTTGTTTTCCTGGCACTATAGCTTGCCTCTCTGTCAAGGCCCCTCTTCTGTCACTTACCTGGCTCAGCTCCGGCCACGCCAACCGGGCAGACCTAATATGCATGTGCGGCAATGGCCGCGCACGTATTAGGATTTTCCCATGGAAAGCATTATTCATAGTGTGAGGAGGTCCAGCGTTGTTTAGGCGACTAAAAGTCACCTATCCACCAGGAAGTCCCTCTAGTGGCTGTCTGGTAGACGAGGAGTTAACCCTATCAGGTAATTTTTGCAGTTTATAAAACCTGCAATAATTACATGTTTAAGATTAAGGGTTCATTGAAGTGGTCTGGGTGCCTAAAGTGTCCCATTAACTTTGAATTCCTAACAATTATCGCTTTAGTGAATAGTGCAGACAATCTCAAGCCTCTGAGCCCATAGGATAGTAATGGGTTTTAAGATAACTGAATATGTATTTATAATGGTAGCATACATTTAATATGTTGATACCTAGAACTATGGGGGCTTAGGGCTCTTATATATCTATATGGAGCGGTGGTGGGAAAAACATAAAAACACAAAATTGGAAAATTCAGACTAAATTAGCTAAATTGTGATTATGACTGAGTTGAACTAACATGCTCCCAATCTTGTGTCACCTGGTTGCGGATTGCGGTAAAGTGCAGCACACATTCTCGTTACATTTCTAATGACATTCAGGAAATTTTAAACCCATACACGAGTGTTACAGAAGCACTTAATATATGGGCAGCCTGTTATGGAGTGCCCTCTTTGTGGTTGAACATGTCCACCTGGCATTCCTGTCCTTGCTCTGCTTCCATTATTAGGCCAGCCACTCCTTCACTTCTTGCAGTGCCAGAGGAGTGTGTGCAGAGAAGATCGTACAGGGCTGGACTGGAAAGATGGCTTAAGGTAGAGGAAACTGGGCTTGGAGGGTGGGGGAGGGAGTGTATTAAATTGGTGGGGCAGTGTATTAAATTGGGGGAAAAGGGAGGGGAGCAGTGCATTATAGAGTGGTGGGGGAGAGGCAGTGTGTAAAATTGGGGGGGAAGGGAGGGAACAGGGCAGTGTATTAGAGTGGCTGGAGGAGAGGGCATTGCATTAGAGTGGTGGGAGGGGGCAGTGTATAACATTGTGGGGTGAGGGAGGGGAGGCAGTGGACTCCATGACAGCACTCCTAAAGATAGGGGGGCTGGGTGGATACAAATTTTTTAAAAAAAAATAATATAAAAATAAAAAAATTGCATGTGTATCTGTTAGAGAGTTTGTATGTCTGTCAAAGAGTATATGTGTTTGTATGTGTGTCTGTAAAAGAGTATGTGTATATCTGTGTGGCAAGGCTTGTGTATGTGTCACACTGTGTGTGTGTGTGCCAGTATGTTTGTAGGTATCTGTGGGTGAAAGTGTGTATATTTGTGAGTCAAGATGTGTGTATCTGTGTGTAGATACAAGCAGGGCCGGACTGGGAAGAAAATTCGGCCCGGGCATTTTTTAATTACAACGGCCCACTAAAAAGGGGGCGGGGCCAGATAGGGTGTGTTTTGTCATCACCAATGACAAGCACGCCCCATCACAAAGTGAGCATGTTGGTTCAATGCTCTTCCAGGGTAGACCATGCGCAGAGCTCTGCTGAAGAGCTCTGGCATGAGAAAAATACCCTGTATTTGTTCTGCACAGCGCAAGCAAATTTAATAACATGCTTGCACTGTGTTTGCTTGAAATTTGTCTCTGGTGTCTCCATAGTTGGGATACCAGGAGACAAAAATGCCAGGAAAGCATATTGCGCAGTGTGTGTGAGGGTGCTCTGTGTGTGTGTGTGTGTGTGTAAGGGGTGTAGTGTGTGTGAGAGAGGGGTGCGGTGTGTGTGTGAGTGATGGGTGCTGCGTTTGCGTGATGGTGCTTTGTGGGTAAGGGTGCTGTGTGTGTGATGGGTGCAGTGTGCTGTGTGTGAGTGGGTGCTGTGTTTGCATGAGGGTGCTATGTGCATGTGAGGAAGCTGTGAGTGTCAGGGGTGCAGTGTGTGTAAGTGAGGGTGTGTGATGTGCGTGTCAGGGGTGCAGTGTGTGTGTGAGGGTGCTGTGAGTGTCAGGGGTGCAGTGTGTGTGCTGTGCGTGTCAGGGGTGCAATGTGTGTGTGTGAGGGTGCTGTGAGTGTTAGGGGTGCATTTTGTGTGTGCTGTGAGTGTCAGATGTGTAGTGTGTGAGTGAGGGTGCAGTGCGTGTCGGGGGTGCAGTGTGTGTGTGTGAGGGTGCTGTGAGTGTCAAGGGTGCAGTGTGTGTGTGTGCTGTGAGTGTCAGGGGTGCAGTGTGTGTGTGCTGTGAGTGTCAGGGGTGCAGTGTGTGTGTGAGGGTGCTGTGAGTGTCAAGGGTGCAGTGTGTGTGTGTGTGAGGGTGCTGGGAGTGTTATGTGCCCTGCTGTGCCCTGATTATATCCCCCCTCCCTGCTTACCTTATGCCTGGGAGGGGGGATCCTGCCGCCATCCATCCCTGGTGGTCCAAGTGGTGAGTGAACTCTAGCCTGTTGGGCTAGAGTTCATTCTCGCGAGACCCGGAGCGTTGCCATGGCAACACTCCGAATCTCGCGAGAGGAACCCGGCGGAGCTGTAAGTTAAAGCTCCTCCGGGTTCCTCTGCTGCCAGGCTGGCTCCCTCCCTCTCTCCCCCGGCGGCCGCAGTATTCTCTATGTGGGCCGGTGAGGGAGATCTCTGATCTCCCCACCGGCCCGCTGTAGACTACTGCAGGGCCGGCGTTCAGACAGTGCCGGCCCTGCAAAGACCGGCAGGGGAGATCCTGTGATCTCCCTGCCGGCCTCGGCCCACGGCCACCGCGGCCCACCGGGCATTTGCCCGGTGTGCCCGATGGCCAGTCCGGGCCTGGATACAAGTACACACTGGCGCATATGAAAACACAGATATACACACCGGCACATACAAACACAGATATACACACTGTGTGTATCTGTGTGCCACTATCTGCCAGTGTGTGTGTGTATATCTGTGTGTCAGATTCATACACACACACACACCTTGATGCACAGACACATACGGTGTGTCAAGGTGTTTATTTGTGTGCCACTATCTGCCAGTATGTGTGTGTGTGTATAATCTGTGTGTCAGATTCATACACACACACAAAGATACACACACCTTGATACACAGACACATACTGTGTGTCAAGGTGTTTGTGTGCCACTATCTGCCAGTATGTGTGTGTGTGTATAATCTGTGTGTCAGATTCATACACACACAAAGATACACACACCTTGATACACAGACACATACTGTGTCAAGGTGTTTGTGTGCCACTATCTGCCAGTATGTGTGTATGTGTATAATCTGTGTGTCAGATTCATACACACACCTTGATACACAGACACATACAAACAGATACACACTGTGTATCTATGTGTGTAAGATATACACACAGTGACACATACAAGCACAGATATACACACATTAACAAAAACAACTTGTTGTGGAAATAAGGTCTACACATATTTCCTAGTTAGTGAAAAATGTCTATTTACTCATTTCACGATATATATCAATATAGCTAAGCACACATATTATAATTAAGATGGCTGCTGGAAGCTTCTAGCTCCTTTCCCCCCCCCCCCTTCCCTTCCTCCCTCCTAACATCGACTAACTACCTCGTGTACCAAGATGGCGCCGGTAAACCGTGGGAGACCCTCATGGCCCCGGTGACATCACCTGCAGTAGGCAGAGCATTGAAGCAACCACTTAACACCTAACCAATTATTGATGTATTATTCCATGTTATCTCTGACAATGCTTATGATGTAATTTTGCTTTAAAAGGGACTTGCCGTCCCCTCTGAATAAACTTTCCTCAAGTTATTCAACAACCTGGAACCTGTGTCTGGTGTGAATTACTTCAGGGAGCGTGCACGCATTGTTTCATTGATTTGGCCAGGGGCAGATACACAAAGAAATAATCAATACTTTGATTGATTTTTCCATTTCACAACTCAATTTTTTTTGGAGTGTGGGGGGGGGGGGGATGTTAAGGGATTCCACGACCTTGATACACTATGTCAAAAGGTTAATTTGGAACTCCTGGTCTAGGGGAAGCCAACCTTCAGCACCAAAGCATCATGGGAGGTGTAGTCCAACACATCTGGAGAGCCAAAGGTTGCCTATACCTGTGACTCTAGGTCGAACTATTTTTTCTGCGGCCCACAATCTTAAACCTTGTCTATTTGGTCCGTGTAAGCTTTTGCGTTTGACATGTTTGCTTTACAGTAATCACATGCCTTTTTTATTTTTTTACACACTGACATTCTGCTCTACAGGCATGACTTGAAAACAATTCCCTAATTTAAATAAAAAAAAAATAAATAAAAAAAAAAAAAAAAAAATCAGGCTTTATACAGAGCTTTCAAGTTTAAGTACTGGGCATCAGCTTCAGCACACCCACAGTACTTAATCCGAACTTCAACTCCCGACATGCAACGCTCTAACAGGGCATTATGTGCTTCCCGTAACAAGGACATCTGTACACCATGACCGCTGCTGTGGTTCCATCTCTAACACAGTAAGAGTATTGACTGGGGACATGTGACCTTCACCCCGCCACGTGTCAGAGAGGAGGTCACCTGTCAATCAATGCTCCATACCCCGAGCTCGCTGTCAGCTCGGCTCCCACAGGCCCACAGGTCACTCACTCTCTAGCTGGGCTTGCTGAGCCTCCCTGGTGCCGGGGTGCGGAGGGGCCGCCCGGACCTTGTCCTTGCCGATGAGCCGGTGTGCCCGGTTTTCAATGTTGAAGTCCCGGAAGACGCGGCTGATCCTGGCCCCCATGTCCGAGTCACTGCATGCTCTGCCCGGTGTGTCTGACACAGGAAGTGGGGCACACGTGTCGGCTGGGATTGGATGGGGCGGACACACTGCTTCCGGGTCTCTGCCTGCTGAATGAGGGGTGTGAGCTCTCTAAATAGCACAGTAATAGCAGAATGTAACACAGGGAGCGCAGATATAGCGCAGCTCACTGTTCATGAGGTTATTTGTTCACATTTTATTATTTTATGAGGGCTCTAGAAGCAAGTATTTATTATAACACAGAGGGCTCATTATAATGTGTCCATAGAGAGCTCTTATAACATGTCTGGATTAGCTTTAACATAATGTGTAATGTGCCAATGTATGGTGTGGATATTCAGATAAAGCTCAGCTGTCTAGAACAGACTTTCCCCAATTAATGTCGACATAGTATGGCAATACTGTGGAGTGATAAACATACATCATTTAATTTTGTGACTATGTCTGCAAGATATGTGTTAAAGGACCACTATAGGCACCCAGACCACTTCAGCTTAATGAGGTGGTCTGGGTGCCTGGTCCATCTAAGGTTAACCCTTTTTTCTATCATCTGAAACTGCTATGTTTATAATGGGGTTAATCCAGCCTCTAGTGGCTGTCTCATTGACAGCCGCTAGAGCAGGTGTTCTCAACGTTAGTCCTCAGGACCCCCTACCAGTCCAGGGTTTAGGGATTACCTGGGTGTGTCTAAGGTGTTTAGAAAAATAAAAATAAAAAACACCTTAGAGTCTAAGGTGTTTTGTTCCCTTTTTCTAAACACCTGAGACACACCCAGGTAATCCCCAAATCCTGGACTGGTAGGGGGTCCTGAGGACTGGGTTGAGAACCCCTGCGCTAGACGGCTTTTGCGTTTATCACAGTGAGAAGACGCCAGCGTCCATAGGAAAGTATTGTGAATGCTTTCCTATGGACTGGATGAATGCGCGCGGCTCCTGCTGCGCATGCACATTCAGCCGAGGAGGAGGAGGAGAGCACCCTCAGGGCACTATAGTGCCAGGAAAACGAGTATGTTTTCCTGGCACTATAGTGGTCCTTTAACCCCTTAAGGACGCGTGACATGTCATGATTCCCTTTTATTCAAAAAGTTTGGTCCTGAAGGGGTTAAGGGCAGCTTTACAATATATTGACTGGCATAAACTCTTTAGTGAAAAGAACACTGAGGATAAATGGTTCATCTTCCAACAAATATTAGAAAGGTACATTTCTCAGTATGTACCATTGGGAAATAAATATAAAAGAAACAAAACCAATGTGGCTTAGTAGAGAAGTAAAACAAGAGATTAAAAATAAGAAAAGGGCATTTAAAGCATTTAAATCGGACAAATCAGATCCATCTTATAAAAGATATAAGGAAGCAAATAATGCGTGCAAAAAGGCAATTAGATTTGCTTAGCTTCAAAATGAAAAAATTATAGCTAAAGAGAGCAAAACCAACCCCAAAGCCATTTTTAAGTACATAAATTCTAAAAAACTCAAAAATGAAAGTGTAGGTACACTAAAAACTGAAACGGGGGTGTTAGTTAATGAAGACCAGGAAAAGGCAGGAATTTTAAATAACTACCGTATATACTCGAGTATAAGCCGACCCGAATATAAGCCGAGGCCCCTAATTTTACCCCAAAAAACTGGGAAAATGTATTGACTCGAGTATAAGACTATGGTGGGAAATGCAGCAGCTACTGGTAAATTTCTAAATAAAATTAGATCCTAAAAAAAATTATATTAATTGAATATTTATTTACAGTGTGTGTATATGATGAATGCAGTGTGTGTATGAGTGCGCAGTGTGTGTATGAGTGCGCAGTGTGTGTATGAATGCAGTGTGTGTGTGCATAAATGCAGTGTGTGTATATGAGTGCAGTGTGTGTGTGTGTTATGCAGTGTGTGTTTGTGTTGCAGAGCCTTGGTGGGGGGTGGACATTTTTATAAAAAAAAAAAAGTATTATTGAAATTTTTTTTTGTTATATTATTATTATTATTTTTATTATTATTTATTTATTTATTGTCCCCCCTCACTGCTTGATACATGGCAGGGAGGGGGGCTGGCAGAGCTGTTACTTACCTCTCCTGCAGCTCCTGTCAGCTCCCTCCACCGCTATGACCCCGCGGTTCTCGCGATAATTACACTGGGAGCTGACCGAGGTGCTGCACGGACCGGCGCGGAGGAGGAGGGAGCTGACAGGAGCTGCAGGAGAGGTAAGTAACAGCTCTGCCAGCCCCCAGTCTGTATTATGGCAATATAAATTGCCATAATACAGACAGTGACTCGAGTATAAGCTGAGTTGGGGTTTTTCAGCACAGAAAATGTGCTGAAAAACTCGGCTTATACTCGAGTATATACGGTATTTCTCCTCCGTATATATTAAGGAAGAACCCATGGCAATAGATGTGCAAATGATTGCTAATAAAAACTTGCAGAATAATTGTAATTGGTTAACTCAAGACAAGGTGCTGCAGCAACTAAAGAAAGTTAATATAAACAAAGATCCAGGGCTTGACGGTATCCATCAACGAGTACTTAACCCCTTCATGACCGAGGACGGTTCAGGACTGTCATCTGCATTTTTGCGTTGCCGACCGGTGACAGTCCTGAACCGTCCTAACGGTCCAATGTACTTACCCGATCACCGTCGTTCCCCCGGCGGCGATCGGTGTTTCTCCCGTTGTGGGGAGACTGCCTGCAGCCCAGACAGTCTCCCCATGACATATTAGAACCCCTGGGGCCATGTGATCGCTCAACAGAGCGATCACATGGTCACAATAGGTGTCCATATGTCTGCCTGCAGGGGGACTGCCTGTGCTGACAGGCAGTCTCCCTGCTAGTGTAAAATCATTAAAAAAAATAAAGGTATATGTTAATAAAAAAATATAATTTATATATGTGTGTGTGTATATATATATATATATTTATATATATATATATATATACACATTGCAATCAATAAAATTACTTAATTACCGCTGCACAGTTAACTTAGTGGGAATCCAATTTATTTAGATGAGTTTGTGGGATTTTTCTTAATCATTTTTCCTTTGTACTTAGACCTTAGCTTAGTCTTGCTTTTAAGGTTTTTTTATGTATTTTCTCACCTCTCATTGTGTGTGTATTTTTGCTTGAACTGCTGGAATAGACTTCTTGATTAAGTCAGGCAGTCATAGCAAGGGTGTAAGTGTTTTTGGTTTGACAATAAAGTATCTTTGTGATTTTTATTTATTTGTTTTTCCACTATATGTTATATTTGATAGTGTTGGAACAGATTTTCACCTCTTTTTTGTTACTATTTTTTCAGGGTTATCCCCTTATCTGTTCCTATTGATACAGGGACATTGATCTCCTGGCCATTTTTCAAGTTATCTAGCTACTAGATGCATACTTGCAAAAACAGAATATTCAAGTATATAATCTTTCAATGTAGGGTAATAACTGCTTGACCCAAGGATAAATCTGACTGCCATTCTGGGGTCAAGAAGGATTTTTTTCCTAGCTTGTTCCAAAATTGTGCTTCAAACTGGGTTTTTTGCCTTCTTTTGGATCAACAGCAAAAAACAAATGTGAGGAAGGCTGAACTTGATGGACACAAGTCTCTTTTCAGCTATGTAACTATGTAACTATATGATACTTTGGATAACCAGAAAGTGTTTGTTAAATCCAAATTTATGGTCCTGGAAATATGCGAACAACTCTTGACGCAATTCAAACATTCTAACAAGGACTTTTCCTCGTGATAGCCAACAGACTTCTGAATGCAAGAGCAGTGCAGAGTGGTGACTACCGATATCTTCACATTTAATTTTAAATAGTCGTGACTGCAATGGTCGCCTTTTTATAAAATTAATCATCTGGACCGATTTGTTTAGCACAGTGGAGATTGAAATATTTTTAGCTGCCAGTGCATGTCTGTGAAGAACACAGTAAGAAATGGTGCTATTTTTTGCTACATTTCTTATTCGTGTCACACCGCCTGCCACTTTTCCAACCATTGCTTTGGCACCACCACTGCACATATCTACACATTTGTCCCATTTTTTACTGTGTGTGTTCATGAACTTTTGAATACCGTTAAAGATGTTCTCACCAGTGGTATGAGTTTTCAAAGTTTTACACAGAAACCAGTCTTCTTCAATCTGTTTGTCAAAATTTATATCTAAAAAAACGACAAAATTGAAAGTCCTGCAACATCTGTGGACTCGTCTAATAGCAGTGAGTACCCATCACATTGATGCAGTCGGGACATTAGTTCAGTATGGATGTCATCAACAAGATCATGAATACGGCCCAAAACTGTGTTGTTGAAAAGTGATTTAGCAGATGCTAATGAACTGTTTGGCAATATTTTATTGCAAAGTAAGCATTGTGCTTCAGGACAATCTTCATTTCTGGCACTTGTGAATCCAAATAACAAGTATCTATAATCATATTTTCTTTTCTTTGTTTGAGAAGATCGGGCATGTTTTATGGATTTTTAGTTGTATCTTCTTTCTCAGTTTCTATACGTGCCGAACAGCTAGAAGTACAGGTAGTTCCTGACTTTACAAACTAATTGTCTCCAAAGCCTAGTTCATAAAGTGAGTTCATAAAGTGAGAACTAATTTCCCGTAGTCCGCAATGTAGTAAGCATGGGTTTTGTTCCGGACCAAGAAATTTTACCCTAGAACACCTAAATTATTAAGTACAAATACAAAATATAGGCCTAACAAATACATATATGTTGTAGGAACATTAAAGAAATACATACCATATTGAATCCTTCGTCAAATCATCCTCAATCATCATCGTCCTCAATGAAGAGACATGTTGTACCTGATGAATGGGGCACCGCACAGTCCTCCCTCAGTTGTTTGGTACTTGTTGAAGGCTGCACCTCACTTATTTCTGGTTTGTTTGAGACAGTACTAGTCACATCAGCTTTCTGTAGACAAGCTGTGACAGTGGTTTGCTTCCAACACATTCTTTTCTTTTTGTAAATTTTCATATAGCAGGCATAGGCATTTCTTAGATCTCTAGCAACTTTGCTACTTCTCTCAAAGTTAGAATCTTGTGACTCAAAAATATTAATTGCCTTTACTATGTGCTGAAATGCTTCCTCAAGGCCTTTAAAAGTGAAAGAACGAACAGGAGTTTCAGGTGCAGTAACATCTTCTACCCCCTCAACTTACTCTTGTTCTTCCATATCTAAGAGGTCTTCATTTGTAAGTTCTTCCTTGTGTGCTTCAAGAAGGTCATTTACCTCAGTTGCAG